TGCGGTGGATGGGGCAGATATGGCTGCAATCGCTATTGTTGCCGCGGCTCTGGTACGATATATTTTGCTATGAATTAATAATAAAAAATATCTTTGTATTGTTAATATTAATAAAAAACCATAAAAATATTTTTTTAGCAATTTACCTCTAAAAACTCATGATAATAATAATTAAAAAAAATGGCAGTATATATATTGTAATTGAACTAATAACACGTAGAGTTTTTTTTATCAATTAAAATTACTACACAAATTGATTATAATTTATATTATAATAGAAAATGAAGTGGAGTCGGTTGAAGAAACAAAGCAACCCAACCAAGGCGGCGGTGGCGGCGGCGGTGGTGGTGGTTACTGCCGGAATAGGTATTGCTGCGGCGGATGGGGCAGATATGGCTGCAATCGTTACTGTTGCCGAGGTTCAGGTAAAGATATTATATGCATGTCATATATATATATATATATATATATATATATATATATATATATATATATATATATATATATATATATATATATATATATATATATATATATATAATTCAGATGAATTGATATATGTTTGGTTTAACTGTTGTGTAGAAAATGAAGTCGAGCCCGAGCACAATAAAGGTGGCGGTGGACAAGGTGGCGGCTATGGTGGCGGTGGACAAGGCGGCGGCTATGGTGGTGGTGGACAAGGTGGCGGCCATGGAGGTGGACAAGGTGGTGGCCATGGAGGTGGCGGCGGGGGTTGTAAATTTGGGTGCTGCGGGGGATACGGTGGCGGACACGGACATGGTGGCGGCGGTTGCAAGTGCTGCGGCAGTGCGGCGGAGGCGAAAGCTTTTATGGAAAGTGAAACCAAGGCAGAAACAAAGAACTAATTAATCTTTGGATATATGTATAATGCCATGTATGTATATGTATGTGTATTAGTAATAAAAATAAATGATGCATGGTTATGAATTAAATATTAGTTAAGAAAAATGTTTGAATAAATATGGAGATAGGTGGTCTTAATCCAACAAAGACCTTCGGTGGTTGTTTGTAATAGATTTACTAATATTAATGTTAATTGCCTATTTCTATAACTTCATTTTCTATATTTACTTCTCGATATGTTGATATGTTTGATGTTATTAATTAAGGGCACTTACAAATAATCCCATCAATGTATAATAAACTCTTTTACAGAAAAATCTACGTATGATTCAGAGGTATGCTCAAATTTCATCATTTAATTTAATATAACATAACCTCAATTTAACCTCAAATTTCACAAATTATTCAATTTGACCCAAAGCACAATTTTATTGACAATTTCGCCCGTCACCGCCGTTGACTTTTTTTTTCTTCTTGATTTTTCCGCATGTTTCCGGCGTTGACTTTTTCGGAAAAAAAATATTCCTGATTTTTCCGCCACCGATTTCCGGCGTTGACCTAACTTTTTCGATTTTCTTTTTAAACATCTTTTTGCCTCCCGTTTAAACATCAATATTGTTGTGGTTGACAGTAATATTAACAATATCGCTGATAAACATATAGTAAAATTAACTATACTACAGTTTAACAAAGTAATATTACTATATTAATCTCTAGGAGAGTAATATTAACACATCAAAAGTCATTATTATTGTATAATAGAATAATATTAATATGTTGACCTTTCAACAAAGGTAAACATAATAAAAAGGAAAAAAAAAATATTATTGTGGTTGACACTTGACAGTAATATTATTGTAACAACAGTAATATTACCGTCAACCACAATAATATTATTGTGTTTTCAGTAATATTACAGTGACAGACAGTAATATTATCACGTTACTCTGTCAATAACTCAAACAAACCAAAAAATTCAAAAAAATAATAATATTGATGTGGTTGACAGTAATATTATTGTGTTTACAGTTATTTTACTGTCAACGACAGTAATATAATTACGTCGACTTGTCAACAAATCAAACAAAATAATAAAAAATAATAATAATAAAAAAAAAAAAAAATAATAAAAATAATAAATAAAAAAAACTAAAAAAACTTATAATATGTTGTTGACTCTAATTGTACTGTCAACGGCAATACAATTACATAAATGTATTGTCAACCGCGGTACAATTACGTTAATGTACTGTCACTATGTACTGTCAGTGACAGTGATAAGGAACGTCAAATTGGATTCGTGTTGCAAAATAACTATTTAATTCGGAGAAGAGTTATTAATGGGCATTGGTGGAAATATCGAAAGAAATTATAGAAAAATAAGGGTTTTCGACGAACTCAAATCGTATTTGAGTACGAAACGAACTCTATCTCAAGTGAAACGGCGCAAGGAACAAAACTCATGAGCACTGCTCATGAATCACGTCCAATTTCAGCAATTCAACGTCGTTTAGACACCTAAAAGTTCGTTTTTGCTATTTTAGGCAAGTTTTAGAAAATTAATATCAAATCATAGAAAAATCGGATTACGATTCCGTAAATTGGGTTGTTCCCAAAACTACGAGATCTACTAGAATCAGACTCTAAATCGTTTTTTGCTATTTTTAGTGATTTTTAGTATTTTCTTAGTTTAATTAGGGTTTTCAGTTTTTTAGTATAAATAGCTGCCTTAGGACTTTATTTTGAAGAAGAATTTCGAATTTTAATAAAATATTTAGAGTTTTCTCTATTTTTCTGGTGGATTCCAGAGTTTTTCGGTGGATTCCGAATGTTATTTTGTTCTATAGGATTAATTCGTAGAAATTAATTCTTTACCGTGCTTCCGTTCTGCGTCAGTTAGTATAGTTACGTTAATTTACGGTGGTTAGATGGCGAAAGGTGTGAAAAAAAAAAAACAAAAAAAAAAAAAAAAAAAAAAAAAAAAAACCACCCACTAAAAAATATCAACGCCGGAAACCGGCGGCAAAAAAAACAGACCAGAAAAAAAAATTGAAAAGTCAATGCCGGAAACCGGCGGTGAAAAAATAATTTCTGAAAAAAAAAAGTTTTAATAGAAAAGTCAAAATTAGATTTATGTGGTCAAAATTGATTAAATTAGGGTTACAGTTAAGAATTTGGTGTAAATGGTTGGGTGTAATTTTGTCATATACATTAATTTTTGCTTTATTTATAATACATATTAAATGGATGAACTTATTGACGAAAGAGATAAAACCCTGAACCTAAAATAATAAAGATGGCTGGTCTGGGACTTTTGCACGAAAACCCTATTATTTAATTATTATTGATCTATTCTTTTTCACTATTCATATTCGATGAAACATATAATTAAGTAAAACTTTATTTTGATTCACATAAATATAGGGTATATTCATAATTTCTAAAAACTATTATAGCATTTAATTTATATACTTAATACTTGTATCAAAAGGTGAAATTCCTCATTAAGTAAAACTTTATTTTGATTTACATAAATATAGGGTACATTCATAATTTCTAAAAAATATTATAACATTTAACTTATATACTTGTATCAAAAAGTGAAATTCCCCGCCCCTAGGGCCCCCATCCCCTTGCCCGACAAGTATTTGATGGAGGAATGTAAATCATGGTAATTCAACGGCCCGTTAGGGTAGCAGACCCGGATTTGGTGCCCACAAGGAACCAACCGTCATTGGAGTTGAAATTGTCACACTGCGGCTGCTAGGATTCGATCATAGGACCTTGTACCAACTTACCACCCCGAAACCAGTTAAGCTACGTACACTCATGCGGGCATTTAACTTATATACTTATCGTCAATTACGTATTTGCATCTACAAATTATTTAAAATTTACAAGTTTCAATCTGAATTATCATTTCCACAAATTATATGCAATTATGATGTTTTATTTAAAATGGATTTTGGATTTCTTTTTTTTTTTGGAAACGCATTTTCATTTTTCATTATTATCAGAAATATCTCCGAAACTTTTATATATTTATGAAATGACCCCAAAACGTGTTCGACAAGTATTATGGAGTTTTGATTGAAACGCATGTGGGTAGAAGCTTCCGTGCATCATAATCATCATTTATAAAGAAAAAGTGGGTCCCGTACGAGAAAAGAGTCAAGATCACGTTCGAAGTCAAATAGTATTGCTAAAGTTGAAACAACATTTAACATTTCAGCTTATAAATTGACGGGGGGGCTCGTGGAAGAAATTTCCCAATTTGCCATCGTATTTATTTTCATTTTTTGTTATTTTTCAATCACTAATTAACTATGGCTATATATTTTCCGTTTTTTATTCTTCTAAAAATGATTATTTTATTTTCCTCATTATATGTCATCTCAAGTACGAATAAAAATTGGAACGGAATTTTTGAATTCCACATGTGATTAGATATTGTGTTATTGAACAGTCCTTTTACAATTCAATTTTCATAATTTTTTTTTTTATTACGGATTTTTGAAAATTGAAAGTTATTATCTCGTAAATATAAATTTGAAAATCGAAAGTACTCATGGCTTCTATATAAAATCTCTAGTTAACTGTATTATCTTATTAATTTAGCGAATTATTAATACACCACGTATCACCAAATCATGCCAAAACTATAATTGAAGTAATACTATTAATTAATTAATAAATTATCGAAATTCTGCTATATATATTTATATTCGGTGACTCCATACGATACAGGTTATTGAGATGCTACACCGGCTCCCGTGATTTTTAACTATCGATGTTGTTAAACAACCATTCACTAAGCACACATGCACATGCATGATTGTGTGATTATGTGCAGATCAACGGTTATGGGAAAAAAAAAATCTTAGAAAAATGAACTTATAAAAAAGAAGGAAGAACATTAAATCTTCTTCACCAAATGCTGACATAGAAAAAATAGTAGAAGAAAAGCTTTAAAAACTCACCAGAAATCTTACGTTGAATCGGCGAAAAAATCCAAGAATCCGCCATTAATGCTGTTACCTCATGAACTCAACCTCTTCATGTGTCTTCTACTTCTTCTCTACACCTATAAATAAAGCTCCATCAACACCCATTTTTCCTCACAAATTAAATAATTTGAGAAAAAAGAAAAAAAAAATGAAGTTTCGAGGTTTAATCTTCATCGCCGCTGTTCTTGTTTGTTCAGTTTTTGCAGAAGAGAAGTTTCCGAATGAGGTTTTTGAAGTTTCTCATACTGAAATAAAAGGTGTGTTATTTAATTATTTCTTGCAATATATATATATATATATATTTTTATTTTATGACGTGGAATATCATATTATTTTTATATATTTTTTTTAATTATATGTATAATATATATATTGTAGGTGGTGAACCAAAGCATACCAACACTTATATTGGTGGAGGGTACGGAGGGTTTGGCGGTGGTGTTGGAACCGGCGGCGGCAAAGGTGGTGGATCCGGCGGCGGGACTGGCGGTGGATCCGGTGGCGGAACTAGTGATGGATCCGGTGGCGGCGTGACTGGCGGCGGTGGATCCTGCGGGAGTGGTGGTGGATCCGGTAGCGGGACTGGTGGCGGAACCGGTAGCGGCAGCGGTAGTGGATCCTGTGGCGGCGGTACTGGTGGTGGATCCGGCGGCGGGAGTGGTGGTGGAACCGGCGGCGGGACTGGAGGTGGATCTGGTGCTGGAGGATCCGGTGGCGGCGGCGGCGGCGGTGGATCCGGATCGCCGGGAGGTTATTCGGCGGGGTACAGCCACGGCGGTGTGTACGGAGGAGGGAAAATATGTAAATGGGGATGCTGCAGTGAATCGTATGGGTACAGTCATAAAGGCGGTGGTTACTACGGTTGCACTTGCTGCTACACTGCTGCACAAGCCGAAGCCTACAAACAAACTCAAGCCAAATTAGCTGCTCAAAATAATAATTAAATTTCTCAATTCCATATATATATATATATATATATATATATATATATATGTATGTATGTATGCATGCATGGATTGTCACAATAAAACTGCAGGTGATGGGCTTAATTTCACAAAATTAAGACCCTCATTTTGTAATTTTGTATTTGCAATGTGTTTTGGGAAATGGGATTGAGTTTTGGTATTTTTATACTCTTGTTTCGTATTATTTTTTCTGCCGCGTAAATTTTAGTAACTATGCATGAATTTGAAAAAAAGAACAAAACAAAAAGCACTGTATGGACTAAAATGACCTTTTCTTGTTATGTCTCTCTAATTTGTTTTTGGGGAGAATACAAATTTCATCCCTCAAGTTTGCATCGATTTCATATTTGCTCCCCATTGTTCGCAAAAAATACATTTGGCCCCTCATGTTTCAAAAATTCAACACTTCTAGTCATTCCCATCAATTTTCCGTTAGTAATAACATAATCAATCATGTGGTCAACACTGTTAACGGTAAATTGACGGAAATAAACAAAAGTGATAAATTATTGAAACACCAGGGGTCAAATGTATGTGTTTTGTGAACATGGGGGACCAAATGTGAAATCCGTGCAACCATGAAGGACGAAAATTGCAATTTTCCCAACTGTTTTTCCATTAATCATGAGCATGAGGCCAAAATTGAAAAAAAAATACAATGTTAGTTATATATTGATTGTGAAAAAGGGAAATAAGAGTGTAAAAATATGCACTTCACAAAGTTGAATTACCAAAAAGTCCTTTTAACATAAAATGTATACGGTCTATAATATCTCTACGTTAAATATAAAAATGTAAATTACCAACAACCCCTTAATATCGAATTGCCCAAAAAAACATAATGTAACCATAATTACCAAAGGGAAAAAAAAAAAAGAAGCAAACTAAGATTTATTGTCGTCTAACACCATTCCTTATAAAGTGTAATTTTTTTTTTTGTAAATTAAGATTCTATTGAAGAATCGGCATTGGAAGGAAAGCCTTTTTTCAACTTTGAAGAAATGAGTAATGCTTCATGTGAAAGAAGATGATCACTTGCTTGCATACGTGATCATGCACTTGAAGATTCCGATGTCGGAGGTCGGTGGTGGTTGTTCTGCGAGGAGATCGACATTTTTTTGTCGAATTATGAAGTGCATTGTTTTGCTATGATGACTTTTCATTGTCGCTGACTTTGTGTGATTTTTCGTTGATATTTACAATATCAATATTATTATGTATTTTATGTTATGAGTGATTAAAATATTGAAAAGAATCGATTTTGCTAGATAAAATTCTGAATTTGGAATCTATGTTTCATTCCGATTTCTTTTTTTTTTTTTTCTTAATGAATTGAAATTAGTTACTCGCCTACGAAACAAATTGGTAAAGGAAAATTCAAAAGTTGTTATGCCCCTAATTTGAACCAACTAATTTGAGAAGAGTTACTAACTCGAAGAAGCTAATTCCTTCTGAGGAAAAAATGACATATTATTAGACGGCATTCGTCAAATTCATAGGGAGGTTGAAACCCTCAAAATTGTTGATACAAGGAATTTTAGCAATACAATGAGCTAAAGAGTTGCTTGCACGTTCGATAAACATAAAATTACAAGAGTTGAAGGAACTTGGAACAAAACAACGTTCCTCAATTAGTGATCCAAACGACGAAAACTCAGCTTCTCCATTACGTAGGGCGTTGATTACTTGGATACAGTCCCCTTCCAGAATGACGTTCTTACATCCTTTTTCCTTTGCCCAAACAATAGGCCTTAATGCAGCAAGAGCTTCTCGAAGAAGCTAATTCTAGATTCGGTATTTTCAAGTTGGAACAAAAAATATATTTGAAGTTGGAACAATATCGGTAAAATTGAAACTAGATTCAGTATTTCAGTTTCGATATTTTAATTTGACCTGATTCTGAAAGCTATACAAGTAATATAATAAAAATTTCCAACTCCTTAAAACTACGAGTGAAAGTCGGATGGATCGGATCGGATGGATCGGATCGGAATTAGCCTTTTTCAAAAAAATTAAAAAAAAAATCGAAAGTACAAATTCCCATTCCAATTTCAAAAGGCCGGGAATTTCAAAAACTTAGCAGAAATATTCTGAAAATTTCATAATTTTCACTTCATAAAAGTAAAACTAATAACTACAAAAGTTCAGTTCAAAAAATAAAAAGGTAAATAAACCACATCATAATATCCCATAGAACTTCTAAGAACAATTCAATATGTCAAAATCCTAAAACAAAACTCAAATCAAATTACTCTTTCAGAAAACAAAAAGAAAAAAAAAACTTAAATAACTCTTATATAATATATATTATTTATAGGTGTATCTTTCGGGAAAAAAAATGATTTTTTTTAAATGAATTTTGGAAATTAAATCGGTTCGGGAATTCCAAATTTTGTTATATAAGTCCAATTCCAATTCAAAAAAATCGAAAATCAGAATTTCGGAATTCGAAATGAAAAAAGTTGTTCTCAAATCGAAACATACAAAAATTAGAATTTCCGTTCTAACTTGCATCCCTACCTAAAACCTTTCGTAAAGAAAAAAAAAAAAAAAAAAAAAAAAAAAAAAAGGAAAATTACAATCACTAATTAATCAAGTTTTTCTCAAAAAAAAAGAAAATTAATCAAGTTATATCAACAAGCAAATCCACACACTATATATACAGACAAAAAGAAAATGTGTAACAAAAATTCAAAATCTCAATAATTACTTGATTTACCTTTCACCACCAAACAAGTACTATATATTGTTCAATTACCATTTTGAAAAGAAAAAAAAAACAAGCATGATAGCGAACCATGTTCTTGTCTTGAAACCCATGATAACAACAACTCCTTGCTAAAAAAGAAAATATGGATCATCACTACCGGGCGGGGCCCACCCAACAAAAAAACCCGAACCGTAAAAACAAAAAAATTATAAATCACTCACAGGTGATAGTAACGTGCCCGTTTGTTGTTCCCCGGCAAACCCTGACCCGAACCCGCCAACAAAGTTGACTTGTCCATGACCATTCTCAGCCCTCTCCTAAGTGTCCCCAATCCGACGTCGTTTTCGCCTCCGAATTTCACCCACAGTATGCTCTTTGTTCTCCCGCCCACCGTTGACATCTCCGCCCTCACCACCTTCCCCTCCGCCGCCTTCACCGCCGTTATCATCTCCGTTATTATCTCCGCCCTGTCGTCGCATGACAAACTCGCCTTCGTCAGACCCGTCTTCTCGCACCGGCTCACTTTCAACTCGTCCGTTTCACTCGGTATCATCAGCATCCCCGCCGCCCCCGCCGTTTTAACGCCGTTATCTTCCTCCTCGCCGCCGTTTGTTAGCTCCGCCGTTTTCTTGTTTAGCTCCTTCACCCGCTTCACTGCTTCTCCTAGTAAAGAAGCCTTGTCCGTCTGAATATTTATATTATATTAATTAATTCACTATATTTCCGACAAATTTAATATATATATATATTAATTAATTAATTACTGTGTGAAAGAATCAAGGGTAAATTACAAAAACCCCATGAACTTAGGCTGAATAACGAAAAACACCCCGACATATCTGTAATAACCAAAATATCCCTTTGATTAACTGTTGCTCGAGTTTTTTTAACAGAAAATGTGTACAATCTATTATATCTTCTGTTAAATAGGTGAAAAATATATACGGTATTGTGTAAATTAAAGTCTATTCACTGGAATCAAGAAAAATCCGTGAAAATTCATACTGCAAAAGAATTGGTGTAAGACGGAAACAAACATTAGGGGATTTTTGATAATTACGAATAGATTGGGTGTTTTTCGTAATTTACCCAAGAATCAAAGATCGGACATTTATAATACTGTGTGAATGAAAAAAAAAAAAAACAAGATGTACTTTTCATTCAGCACAGTGGCTTTCTTGTAATTTCATGAAACATCTCATCAAGAACATGCTGTCTGTGTGTGTAAGTGTGTTTTTTTTTTTTTCGTTATTTACACCGTCACTGTGTGAACACATATTTAATATTTACTGTCTGAAAATTAATGCAATCTAAGCTAAGAAGAAAGTGATTTATTAATACCTTGATAGTATTGGGAAGAATGGATTTGAGGGTGGCGATGTGGCCGTTGATTCTCTTCCGCCGCCGTCTCTCCGCCTCCTTGTGGCTGTTGCTGGCGGCGGCTGCTTTAGCTTCCGCCGTGGATCCTGGGCTGAGGGTTTCATGAGTTTCTGTTAATGGCGGCGGCGTAGTGAAAACCCCTTGTAGAATATTATTATTATTATTATCGTAGGAATTATCTGAACATGCACCGAGTTCATACAAACTCGGTATAGAAAACATCTCCTTAATTCTTTCAATCACTGCAAGAAAATCAAAATTCAAGTCATTAATAAAAACATTTATTATTACATATATATATGTGGGAATAAATTTATAATTGCATTGAAGATAGAATATTACAGTAATTAAAGAGGAATTTATGGAAATATTTTTAAAACCTGTCTGGTTTTTCTGAGTTGGCTGAGGATTCTGATTTATGTGTGATCAGCAAAATCAATTTCGCAGGAAGAAATGGCAGAGGATGATTTCACTTAGGTTGTTTTTATTTATTTATTATTTTATTTTATTTAATTTGAAGAGAGAGAGAGAGAGAGAGAGTTGCTTTCGTATGGCTAAAGTATTTCACAAATCTTGGTCAGATGAGCAAATGAGATCTTGGGCTGCATCTCCTTTTATAGAAGTGGTGTTGGGACTCTATATTTTATTTTTATTATTTTTGGAAATATATTATCATTGGAAAAGGTAATAAAAAGAAAAGAGAAAACATTATTTATTAATTTCCATAATCTAATTATAAATTTTGAAGTGTGAATTATAAATTACAAGAATATTGCAAAAATATTTAATTTAAGATTACACGACGATATACCGTCCACGTCTGCAGGAGATGTTCATGGGTATGGGTAAGTCGTCGACTGATTATTGGTCAATTATCAATCCGACCCAACGGACCGATTTTTACCGATGTCCATAATTATTATCGGGCCTATCTTTGTGGGCCGGGTAATTGTTTTTATATTTTTTTTTTATATTTACTTTAATATACAACATTATTTAGTTTTCAAAATAAATATTAATAGTTAATTAAGTTACAAATGTATTTAAAATATATCTAAACGTTATTTTTGCAATAATTGGTTGGGTATTATCTCGATCGAACTTTCACTAACAGTCGATGGTTGATTATCGGCCAAAATTTATGGTCGAAAATAAGTTAGATGTTTGGTAAAATTGTGACCCATAAATAGCCATATAGTTAATATGTATGAATATAGTTAATTCGAGAAATTTGTTCTCAAAATTTTCAGAAGTTCACTACAAATTTTGTTAAAAGTTATAGCTCAACTGTCAGCTAATTTTTAGAAATTCATTGTCAATGTAAGGTTGTACATTGCAAATCCAATCAACGTTGACGTGTTATAATACAACGTTGGGCGTTTCGCCCCTAAACGTTGCGTTGCTCCATTTCTGCTACGTGATACTCGTTTATGCAATATGTCTCATATTGTACATGTGTATCGAAACGAGTGAATGACTGACTGATTTGGTGAGCAAATCAGGTCGTGCAAGGGTGAAATCTTGGCATAGAAACGAGTTACATTGTATATTTCTTTTATATAATTTGATAGCTACATATTTGTACAAACATGAAAATAATTGGCCGCACAAAGACACACAAATTGTGAGTAGAGCATTAAATTCAAAAAGTGAGATTGAGTGCATTCTTGAAAACCCTCCAAAAATCATGCAATCTCTTTATATATATATATATATATATATATACACACACACACACAAAAGAGTGATGATTGCTGAAAGATCAATATTCAAACAAAAGAATATTAAGAGCAGTGACAAAAACTTAGAAAGACACAAGGCGAAAAAAGGCAGAGAATAGAACAGAATAGAATAGGGCAGAATATTTTGTTTCTTCTTGTTTTTTTCTTAGACCAACATAAAAGAAAGAAAAGAGGAATCAAGAAGAAGAAGATAGCTTTTTTTTTTTTTTTTCTTTTTTTTTTTTTTGGCAGTGGAGAGAAGTTCAAAAGGGCAATCATTTTACGGCGCAGTTTCTTATTACAGCACTACAAATTTTTTATTGTGTTTTTGCGGTCCCAATTATAAAAATTAAATAAATAAGGGCAAATTGGACATTGCCCCTTCAAAAGAATCCTTTTTTGCACTTTCCCCCCATAAATATAAAAATGAATAGGTCCCTCTTTGAAATGTAGAACTCGGTGCATTTTACCCCATATGTGAATTTTCGGTCCAAGTCTCGCGGAATTAAAGGTGCATATATCATTTTACTTTTTTGGCTCGAAAATCCTCCTTTTCAGAGTTACTTAGGATTTCCAAATTAACAAAAAAAAATTCCCAATTTAATGAAATTCGCTTCTAAATTAGACTAAATTCTCTTCCAAATTCGACAAAATTTATTCTTTGTTCTTCATAATAATCATAAGATGGGGTGAAAAAGGTTAAATGTCATTTAAAGCCTTAAAAGACAAAATTACCATTCCAGTTTACGCACATCGGACAAGAATTAGACCGAAAATACACGTTTGGGGCAAAGTGCACCGAGTTGTATATTGCCCTTCATCTTTTTGAATTGAGACCCGCAGATAGATAGAGATCCGCTGCGAGCAACCCGACTGTGCCTTACATGTGCTCTACAGGCCGCACTCCATTTTTCTTCCCAATGAGCCCTTTTTTATTTTGATTTGGAAGACGGGCCTTGTCGTCTGTTCGAAAGGCATGGTTTTCATTATGTCTCCACATAGGGCCCCACTAGTCCGGCTAGCTAGTGAGCGGTTCTTTCGGGCGGGCATCTACAGCTGCAATGCAAACACCATTGTTCGCAGCCACCTGAGAAGCAAAAGATTCGAGAGTTCGGGCTGAAAATGAAAACGCACGATGAGAAAGGGGGTGGATCGAAGCGACTGCAGTTTTGAAGGGTGACAGTCTCGATTTTGTACTTTGAGGGGGGGAAAGTGCAAAAAAGGATTCTTTTAAGGGGGCGAGGTGCAATTTGCCCAATAAATAATAATTATTATAATAAATAAATAAATAATAATAATGTGAAAAAAGAGAATATAAGTTGTTTGTCCATTCCTTACCACACACCAAAGTCTGCAAACTATTCTGACAAACCTTATTACATCAATTTGGTTCCACACGCACAAACACAGTCACTACTACAGGTGGACCATTTGTTCATATCTCAAAGGTAACTCATCTACTGTAAAACATAAAATAAAAAATTGATAAATATTTTAATAAAAATTTAAGTAGTTATTATTTTAATAAATATTTTAATAAAAATTGATAAATATCCATTATTTAAGTAATAGTTTCTAAAGTATAATTAAGGAGGTAAGTGTGACTAGCTTCACTAAATGAGCCGAGTCGGCTCCTGCGCTCGATGAGCCGGCTTGACAAAAGCCCGTAATTCGAGCTCGAACTCATTTTTAGTTATTCATGAGCCCATAAGCCGGTTTGTCGCAAGGTTTTTGAATTTTTATTTTTTATATTTAAAACAAATAATGCACATAATAATAGAAAATACAAAAATAATATTAGAAAACTTTATTATATTAATATTTTTATATCCATATAAATAATTTATAATGATAAAAGTAGCAATATATATATATATATATATATATATATATATATATTAGAAAGACAAAATGAGATGAGTTCGAGCTCGACAAACTCGACTTGAACTCAAGCTTGAACTTAGGAAATGGAAGCTCGACGAATTCGAGCTCGAATATTTGACGAGCTCAGCTCATTTACACCTCTAATTTATATGTAAAAGTTTTGAATATCTATAATTTTAAGAGTAACAATATTTATTATTATATGTTTTAAGAGTAATAGTTTTCATCTCATTGTTTTCATCATAATGACGTCATTATTTCACTTTAGTGACAATAAAAAGGAACCGACAACAACATAAAGAATTACTAATATTTGTTCAAAAAAAAAAAAAAAAAAGAATTACTAATAATAATAAAACACAACATCTGACGATTCTATTATTATGTCTATTGTAGTGATGGATTGAAATAATAAGTCAAAATTAAATCTTTTTATAAAAATAATAATTTGAAAGGGTTTGACCAGCATTGACCAGCACGTGCAATAACCCTTTCATTGTTCATAGCCAAAAATCAATTCGAAAAGTTAAGCAAACCAGATAACATAATTTATGGCTTTTACTTATTCTCAATCAACATGATGAAAAAAGGGAAAATAAAATATTTGAATTTTAGGGTGGACAACATAATTATAATAAGACAGGTAAAAGATGAAGCAAAAACAGCTGGACTGTAATAAAATGGTTTTGTAAAATCTACACCCACACCCGATGAAAATACACCACGTAATTTTAAATTGTAAATCAGCATATAATAACACATATTCATATGTATGTATACTTAATTAGTTAGTGAATACTTATTGATGTAGATTTACAGTTTAAAACTACATAGTGTTAGACTCGCGGTCGGTCCTTAATTGGTCTTACTTGTGTTTTGGACTTTGGTAAAAGATACGAAGTTTAGATTCATAATTTTTCTTTTAGGCTTTAAATGATAATTAACTTGCGCAGTGGGGAGCTAGTATTGTCAAGGGGGGCCATGGCCCCCCTCAAATTTCAATTATTGTTACTTTTTTTTAGATGAGATTTCAATTTTTGTTACTACTATATATGAAAATATAATTTATTGTCTTTATGTCAGGGCTGACATGGGTCGGTTTTATCGGTCAATCAACCCACTTTCGACCCGCTTCTTTCGGCCGATAATTTTGTTATCGGGATGGTATTATTAACCGACCCATATATACATGGGTAGATCAGTGATTTTTAGTTTACTCAAAAGTCGGTTGACTGATATTATCGGTCTACCGATTTTTTTAATAATTTTTTTTATTAAAAATATTAAATTGTTAATTTTAGTTTTTTAATGTTAAAATATAATATATAAAAACGTTAAAAATCAAAAACTCAAAGCACAAATTTATAAACTGCTTCGTACTATTTCTATCTTATACTTATATTTCATATTTTTCATTATATATTTACTTATCGTAGAAGTTTAATAAATAAAAAAACTCTTAATTTTAAAATTAATATTTTTACAACATAAGTTTCCCAAAAATTTGAATATCTTTTGAAAAAACTTTTAAAACATCTTATTATTATAAAAAAAAAATAATAAATAGATGGCCGATAATACCAACCAAACACTCATTGTTTACTCGACAAAATCGGTTGCCAACCATTATCTGACCCATAATGGTCGGGTCGATAATGATTTTTAGTTTTCAGCAAAATCGGGTGGTCGGATCGGGTAGGTAATTAGCCGATAATTATCCGACCCGACTCATTCCCAACCTTACTTTATGTTGTGCTCTTATAATTTTTAACAATTTAGTTTATATAAATAAAAATAAACGTATTTTTCATTAAAGAAAATAAAGAAACATAATAAACGAGGCTAATATGTAGGATAATGAAGTATTGCTAGTATTTTTTGATTTTTTTATATACATATATATCATTTTGTTTGTTAAAATTAAAATATTATTCAAAATAAATTGTAATGTATTTTGTATTTAATACATTTTTTTGCATTTTATTTGTGAAAATTAAATATTATTCAATTTCTTTTTAATATACTAAATATTATTAAAAAAAGTATAAATAATACTTTAAATTTTTAATTGTTTTCCAGCCCCAAAACAATGTTAAATTTATAATTTGGCCCCAAAATAGTATTTTCCGTTAGATGTGAACGGACATGAGACGGAGGGGACCAAATGTGTTTAAAATTGAACCTTGGAGGTGAAATTTGTTCACTTTAGAATAAGGGGACAAAAGTGGAATTAGACCAAATATGAGGGCCAAAAAGTATAATTTCTCCCGGCTTAGGACTGAAAACTTTCAAAACCACGGGGTTTATTGGTAATGAAATTAGTGCTGGGGGACTTTTAGATAATTAATTCCCCCATTTTATTAATATAAGCCATTATCAAAATCTCCCACCATGGACGATCTGATCAAAGCTTTTACCCCCAAATCCCTAAAAAGAATTCTCATTCTCTGGTAAGTAAACATCGAAACTTTATTTTTTTTCCCCAAATTTATTCGTTCCCCTTCATTTATTTCATATGAATTTTGGGATTTCTGGGAATTTAATGGCTTATATAGGATGCTTTTTTAACCCTCATTTTAAAAAATTCATGGGTTCTGTAGATTTTTTTTAATTAGGGTTTTACAGCAGAAAGATTTTGCCTTCTGGTTAGGTATCGTGGTTAATTAATTGGTGTTTTGGCTGGATAAGAAAAATCGAGAATAATGTGCTTAATTTACCCGATGGATTTGCTAATATATGATGGGAGTTTATCGAATTAACTGTCGAATTTATACTTAAGATTTATGAAAGGTTTCTTAGTAAACTTGTGGATAATAACCTCGAAGAATAAAAGTAAGTGTTCAATTATTTCTGATTCGAGCAATTAAACTACAGTGAATCTGCCGGAAACAGGGGGCCGTTTTGCGTGTTCTTATCACGGAGCTGTTTTTAGCTATAATGGACTAATAATTTGGGGATACTGTCTTCTGTGGAACTGTAGATGAAGTTGTTATCTTTCATTATATATATATATATTCTTTGGCCCATTCCGATAACCGTACAAATTGTTATGATTTTTCAAATAAAACCGTGACAAGCCAACGAGTTTGTCCAAACCAATTCTGGCAGTTTTCTGCAATCATCTTGTGGGGCTGTTTTGAATACGTTGGGGTCGTAATTTGTGATCAAGGTCTCCGGTGAACGTGTAGATATAGATGATAGCTTTAATTTGAGATATAGTTTAGGCTATTCGGATAAGTATAGTAATCGTAGTGATTATTAGAATTAGCTGTGGCGACAAGAAATTCTTAATAAATGTTTCAAGAACTTGACTATGTGAATCTTATTAAGTGATATATATATTTGTATAGGTGTTGAGCGTAGTAAATCTCTCACTCAAGATTTAAGTTTAAAGATGCTTCTATAGCACTAGCGTCGGACCTCAGGTGAGAAACGATGACTTCTTATCCGATTTCTTTCATGCGCTTAATATCTCCTTTGTTTGAACCGAATATTTTGTACATATTGAAGCCTTTGATACCTTGATTATATTTGCTCTTGGAATACTATTTTAATATCTACGAGCATATTCATTTCCTTGACTCGAACTTGGAATCTTGATCTTGTTCTTGAAATCTTGAACTTGTCATTTCTGGTGGTTGTTATGTTCGCGGCTAATTCTTATACTTGATTCCTTGGCCTGAACATTTTCCTTGAACTCGATATTGGACTATATTTATTCTCAAAATCTTGTCTTGAATGCTTTCTGAGAATAAATACTTCGTTGGCTCAAACTTGAATCTCATGTTTATTGAATTCCTTAAGGGTCCATTTGGATGGAGGGATTTGGGGAGGGATTTGATTTGGGGAATGGATTTGAAATGACTCCAATTTTGGAGTCATTTGAAATCCATCACTATTGCTCCAAAATCAACTAAAAAGGAGGGGTGGGGATTTGAAATCCATCACCAAATCCCTCAATCCAAACAAGTCCGAGGGATTTGTTATTATGGATTTGAAATCCCTCCCCCAAATCCCTCCATCCAAATGCACCCTAAGATCTTGATATACTCGTTTTTAGAATCCGATATTGAACTTATTGTTCTTCTTGACTTCCATATTCACGACTATTCTCTCCTTGGCCTGAATTGAATTCTCGAACATGTTCATTATCCTGAGACTTGATATTCGATTATCATGATCGTGGTCTGACTTGATTCTTGAAATGAATGACTTGCTATTCCTAAAAGGAATGATATTGATTCTTGAACCTACTGTCCCCACCCTTGAGGACGCTCTTGGGGGAGCTGGGCCCTAGGACCAAGACGATCGGGCAGTATTGGGCTGACGATGACTGGTCTCCCGAATGGTACCTCCTGATGGTTCGGACTCACGTTCGTTTGGAGTTAAACGTTTGTTTCCGACCGAGTAGCCACTCGGGACGGAGTGGAGGGATAAGGATGTGATATGATTTTATTTGTTGGGAGTTACAAGGTTGGAGACCCCACCAAATATTGAACTTGAGTCGTACATGTTACACTTCTGTTAATGAAATTCTTGTAAAGTCTCTCGTTACATGTTCTGTTCATTCTCATCATACTCATGGTCATTCGGAATTATTTGTTTCTCCTTTCTGATATTGCGCAGGTAAAAGAAAGCTTTGTACCTACATTTTCGTAAGTTTTAAAGCTCGTGTATGCCTATGATTAGTCACGTCGAGGGGTACTTTTAGTGATGCACCATATATGGATCTTAGATCTGGAATGTTGTAATAGAGTAAGCCATGGAACCCCTTTTTGTACAAGACGATTAGACATATAAATATTGAAGTTCAATGCTGTGATTATCGATTTTTTGTTGGAGCACATTTGGGATTATTGAACGTTATGCATGTTGAGTGGTGTTCCGCCACCGAGGTGCCTACTACTCGGGGCGGGGCGCTACAAGTTTTTGCTTTTGTTTCTCTTAAAATAAGTTGTTTTCTTAAAATAAGTGTTTTTAAGTTGTTATTTTAAGGTGGTATTTTAAGGTGGTGTTTGCAAAAGCTTATTGAAAAGTAGAAGTGATTGCGAGTTAAGTGGGTACTAGGTGCTTATTTTTAAAAGCCAGGGATGTTTGCAAATATGCTGGAAAATTAACTTAAACAGAAAATTAACTTAAACAGAAAAGCAGGTGTAGGGGTGCGTCTAAAAAAATAGCTTAAAGCAGCATATTTTTAGATAAGCAAAAGCAGAAGCTGATCTTACAAACACCTAAGAACAGATTATGAGTTATAAAAGGCTCAGAAGCTGTTTCTAAAAGCTTTTGCAAACACCACCTAAAAAGCATCAATGGACCTGCTTTTTCAATTTAAGTTGATTTTCCAGCGCATTTGCAAACACCCCCAACTTATAAAAGTTAAGCACTAAAACCCAACTTAACTCACAATCACTAACTTCTACTTTTAAATATGCTTTTGCAAATGCCACCTTAAGAATAGACATGTTTTATTAAAAAGCTTCAAATTGTTTATTGATATCTTCATCACGTGCTTCAAGATTGTATTTGATATAGTTTGCAAGGGATATGAAATATCAGGGATGTGTGTAGCACTGTAATCGTGATGTTAGGAATTACATGAATGATAATACGCTCGATTGACCCTGTCGACATGCTAATCCGTGAGGGAGTGCGTCGAATTGATCATTTCATTGCTACTTATGAATAAAATATCTTCTTAAAAAGCTTCATCGCACTTCTGTTTATCCATATGTACATCTGAGAGGTCATTCTCTTCCTCGTTGCCAGGTGGATTTTTGGAATGTGGAAAACCCTTTTGCCTCGATAAGGTTTTGGTAAAAATCAAGTTCCTCCTTCTTCAGGTTCGTATTATCTCTGACGTTTTCCCTCTTTTTAGATTAATATTTTTTTTCTGTGGTTATCTTTGGCAGCTTCGTGTTTTATTATAAGTTGCATGATTGGTATTGAATGTATGCAACTTTTTACGTGAAGCATAGAGCAAATATTCTCCTTAATACCAGTGCATTTTTGCCTATGGTGCATCTGGACGTTAAGGGAATAACATAATTGTCGAAATTGTTGAGTGCGATTTAAAACGACGATCATATTGTTTGTTCTTTTAGAGAAAAAATTGGATATTCGTCTTTTTGGTTTTTCGATTTCAATCCTTTTGAAAATTTTGGACATGGGTTTGATTAATTCTTATGTTCGATAAATTATTATAGATTTAAAAGCACTCGATGGTTTCTACTGGTTATTTTATCATCTGCGTCTCCTGCATATAGTAAATCTTTGGAGCTTGAAAAAGGTGTTTGTTTGATTATGGCTGAAAAGTAATAGAGAATGACAAGATAATAATTTAATAATTGTGCTGCATATAGACGGAAATTATTGAGTGATGTGAGGCGTGCCTTTATATTCAAGAATTCAAGATCAGTTCTTTGCATTAATTTCAGTTAATTATATGATACTGAATCAGTTCTAAGTGAAAAGAAAAGCTGAAGATCAGTAATCGGTAAATTTATTCAGTTTACTACACAAACTGAATCAGTTGTGTATATAGAACTAGTTTTAGTTCATTACACCAGTTTCGCGGAGCTGTTTCTGCTAAGGTTTCGAAAATGTCGCGCGTTCAGTAAAAGTTGCATCGAGTAAAAGTTGTCTTGCAATAAGCATTCTAGTTATTGTATGGTCGGTCAATACACTTCTCATAAAAATTTTAATATTTTTTTTTCTAAACTCGAATAACAAATGGAACAAAACAAGTTACAAATATATACAAATAATTTTGATTTTTAGTTTAAATAAGAATCTGGGTATTTTTCGTATAAAGTGAAAATGTGGGGCTTCATTTTTATTTTCAAGAATATACACAGTTCTTTACACAGAACTTCTCTTATTTTCTTTCTATTTCTCTTACAATTCAGCATTAGCAGTCAATCCAGATTCCAGTCATAAGCTGCCACTGACTTACACCGCCGTCTTGTCGATCTGCCACCATTAGTTCTCCTTCCGACTACCCAAAGGTAATTTCCCTGTCGATTGACATTTGAATTAGTGATTTCCAAAATTCACAAATTGTAAGATCTTAGACACCAGGTACTTTTTTTTTTTTGCTGTTAAAATCTCTTTATAATCACGACAAATATTGTTTGGTTTGGTACGTTCATGAAGATAAAAGAGATGGTGAGATTCGGCATGATAATTTTTTTAGTATATTGTAACAATAGACTGCATTCATCTTGTTCGATGAAATGCCCACGCTCCTTTGTTGACGTATGAGACTCCATATTGATTTACCATAAACATTTTTTTTTTCTTGTTTTCTTCTTCGATTTTACCTATGCAGTACAAAATTTATTTTGGTCAAGACCTAACCAAATTGAATCACTTTGGAACTTCGGTTTGTATTTGGTTTCTTGTTCGGAAATTGGTATACTGGGTCCGGTTATTTTTTAAGAATTGTGTTTTCTTTCTTTTTCCGAGTGTTTTTGGTGAAAAAAATTGCATTGTCCCTCATACGCTTACTCTGTTTTTTTCAGATTTGATTGCATAGTGCACGTGTTGCTGCTGGTCAACCATCAGTCCATCACAGGTTGCTGATAATGGCAATTTGGATATATACTCTTACCAGCACACTTTACCGGCCACTGCATAAGGTTTGGACAACCCCTCCCCTCGAAACAAAAGCAGTCCCAGAAATTGACGATGCGAGATAGAGAATATGAAGAGATTTGATGTTTAATTATCGGTTTTACTTTTATTTAGTTTGAAATTTTTATCTAGTTTTAACTGTTTATTACAATTTACAGACCGAAAAGAACGATCTTTTGCCATCAATGGCAAATACAGTAGCTTATGATATTACAAAAGAAACGAACTTTCTGTAGGAAACACAACCCGTTTTCTTAGTTGCATAAGCTAATTTCTAGTTACGCCTATATATTATTTTAATCCAATCTTAAACCAGAAAAAAGAAAAAAAAAACAGGTTAATAAGCCTAGGCTCCTCGAAAATATTTAGTGGTGCTTTTTTCATGTAAAATGTATCTAGTTTCATTAGCAGTTACGTTTATACTCCTCGTTTATTGAAAGTAGTGTTGTTTAGACCCTTCTTCTCTTTTGCAGATAAATCATCGCTTGTGACTAAAGGCCGTTTTTAAATTTGCCCCGGGATATTAGCAATGGCAGACATAAGTTTCCGATCTCTGTTCATATTTTCAGCAATATTTCGCGTCTTTCTAATCGTGTATGGTGAGTGGCAAGATGCTCATATGGAGGTCAGATACACAGATATAGACTATTTCGTCTTTTCTGATGCTGCCACATTAATGACTTCTGGAAAATCGCCTTACGAAAGATCAACGTATCGGTATTCACCGCTTTTAGCTTTTCTTCTGATGCCTAATTCATTTATTCATCGGTCGTGGGGGAAATTCATTTTTTCTGCATCAGGTATGTTATGTGGTATAATATCTCAACGTAATTGTTTTTTGTTGGTCGATTTTTAGCTTTTACGGTTTTATTTGTCTTTTAACTGATACCATGTTTCTTTTCTTTCTTTTGTTTTTTTAAAAGAAAATAAGGATGAAATTAATCGGAAATTATGTATCATACCCTAAATTCATTCACATGACAGATTTACTGGTGGGGTCGCTTATACACAGAATTCTGAAATTACGAGGGGTACCTGAGAAACTACGCATATACTCGACAATGGTATGGCTTTTCAACCCATTCACCATCACAATCGGAACACGTGGCAACTGTGAGCCCATTGTTTGCTCCATGATTCTTTGGATTTTACTATGTCTTATGAAAGGTACGTACTCTTATCTATATACCGTTTCGATAGTAACGATGCTTGTAGCAGCTCATTAGTAACTGAAATGCTAAATGCCGTTTCAATTTTACCGGTACCGTAAATCCAAGATTATGCATAAATTTGTTAGAAAGACATTTTAAAGGGGCAACAATATTGATATTTTAAGTTTTCCAACTCTAAGGAATATAAATCTGGTGCTTGGAGTTTTGCCGAATTCGGACCGAAAAATGGTCAAAATCGTATTTCAAGTCAGAATGGTACTAGTAAAATTGAAACGACATTTATCACCTCCCGTAAACTCGTGTTTCTGTCTATTTCAATCATTTTTCATTAAAAGGCATACATTCGATTAATTTCTGCACTCTCTGATTCGAACTGCAGACCATTTTGTACAGGCTGCGTTTTGGTATGGCCTCGTTGTTCACCTGAGAATATATCCGATAATATACGCACTTCCAATAATCTTACTTCTCGATCCTCTCCATTTTCAACCTGGCAAGAAACCCGCCCTTGTAGACTGGAGTTGCAGAACATCAAAAAAATCGTGGGACCCTATCAACAATAAAATCACTCGTTCGCAATACATTTGGAATTTCTTCGTAAAATTGTTTTCTCGGAGAAGAGTAGTATTTGCTACCATATCGGGGTCCACTTTCCTCGTATTTACAGGACTGTGTTTCTTTTTATACGGATGGGAATTCTTGCACGAGGCTTTGCTGTACCACCTCACACGCACGGACCCACGTCACAATTTTTCCATATACTTCTACCACATTTATCTCCACTACGAACACGAGTTTTCCATCCTTGAAAAGCTCGTCTCCTTTTTGCCTCAATTTACCGTCCAGCTAGTGCTGATTTACCGTTTCGCCCTCGACTTGCCGTTCTGTCTCTTTCTTCAGACACTTGCGTTTGTGGCGTTCAACAAGGTTAGTTCCGTCATATTATGTCTGATCTATACAATGTGCAAGATAGGGGTGGAAATCGGAACGGAATTTCCGATTTCCCCCGATTTCGATTCAAATTTTTCCGATTTTAGAACAATATTTTCATTCCGAAATCTGATTTTGATTTTTTTCCATTTTTTGTATCAGAATTGGAATATATACATGAGATTCCATTTTCGATCCGATTTTAATTTCAGAAACTAATTCCCAAAATTCCGTTTTTTTCCGAAAATTACACTTACAATATCAATATTAGTATCCATTTTATATTTTAGGTGACTAAAAACTTGAAATTTATGCGAATTCCGCCAATTCCAAATTTTTTTTTTTTTGGGAACGAGTTTTTTCACTTATGGATGGCTCGCTATCTAGCCGATATTTTTATTTTCCCAATTTGTTTTGGAACAAAATTGGAATTTATTTTTCACTTCCGATAAAATCGATTTTTTTTTCCGAAAATGCTTATTCCGATATGATCCGTCCGATTTCGACTCCTAGTGCCACATCATAACCAACATTTGCTCGTTTCTATATACAGGTGATAACGGCACAGTATTTCGTGTGGTTCTTTTGTTTATTGCCTCTAATATTACCGTGGAGCAAAATGGAGCTCAAATGGAAAGGCTTAGGTTGTATTTCTTTGTGGATCGGAGCTCAAACGCATTGGTTGTTGTGGGGTTATTTACTCGAGTTTCGAGGCAAGAACGTATTCTTTCAACTATGGATGGCGAGTTTATTTTTCTTGGCTGCTAATACTTTTGTTATTATTAATGTTATTCGGAGCCATTTATATTGTCCTCTATTCGAAAAGTCGCAATCTAACTCAGGTGATGGTTTGAAAGACGAGTAACGTTATCTGTCGAACTCATTTTTTTCATCGTCTGTTGATATTTAATGGCGCAGGAATTTTGTAGGATGTTTTGTGGAAGTATCAATTGATGGTTTACATAATTTTATTTATGAATGTATATATACAAAGTCTTACTACATCATGGTCATCTTTGTTTAATTATACATTTCAAAATTGAAAATAGGGGTCTTAAAATATAAGTCCTGGTGACAAACATTATTAGAACTAAATGACAAGCCTAATTAAAATTTGCTTCACATCCTTTATAAAAATTCATTCCTAAAATGCCCCTTTACTCATAAATTCGAAATTACGTCAGATTGTAAATATTCTATGATATACTATAATATTATTTAACATTTTTAATTTGCATCTAGCATTTTTATTATTTTATTTTTTTTCGTGGAATACGTTTTTTTTTTGTTTTTTTTTTCATTACTATAAGAATTTTTTTTTCCTTTTCCTTTCTACATAATATTGGAAATTATGATTTTTTTAAAAAAAAATTCCGGTCGTAGTCATCTGCAGACACCCGTAGTTTCGTTATTGTCAAATAACACATCAGATTTTTAAAGATACTATGGTATGCTATGGTACGGTATGGTATACTATGGTATACTGTGATGTACTATCCGAACTTTATCATTCACCAACTCACAACCGCCGCCAAACCCTAACTTTCAACATCTTCCAGCCACTGTTAAATCATACCAGTCGACAAATTTCAGCCGCCACCAAACCATAACCTAGTCGCCCACCAAATTAAACCCTAGCTATCGACCAAATTAAACCCTAGCCACCATAGCCGTCGACCAAATTAAACTCTAGCCGTCGACCAAATTAAAACCTAGCCACCATCCACCGTAGATCTGACCAAATTAAACCTTAGCCATCAACCAAATTAAACCCTAACCGCTATAGCCGTCGACCAAATTAAACCCTAACCGTCGACCAAATTAAAACCTAGCCACTATCCACCGTAGATCTGACCAAATTAAACCCTAGCCATCGATCAAATTAAAACCCTAGCCGCCATAGCCGTCGACCAAATTAAAACTTAGCCGTCATATCCGCCATCATCCGTCGTAGATCTGACTTCTACCACCATAGTCGTGGTCGCCTCTTACCTCCATAACCATCCCTTTATTAACTCCGACTCCACCGCCATAATAGCGCCATAGCCATCGCCCCCTCAACAATGGTGAAAAGTGATGGAGAAGGAGAGCGACAGAACGCGAGAGAGAAAAGAGAAGAAAAATTAAAAGAACGAGAGAGGCGGAAGAACGCGAGAGAGAGAGAGAGAAAAGCAAAGAAGAAAAATTAAAAAGACAGAGAGGGGCAGAACGCGAGAGCGAGAGAAGAGAGAAGAAAATTTAAAAAAAAATATAAATCTGAGATAAACGTGTAGAATTTATGGATTTAGGTTGAGGACAAATTTGGGATTAAAAAAAAGTAAAGGATGTGGGTCATATTAATTTTTGTAAAAAAGATTTAGTTCAGAAAAAAATATTAGAGTTGTATTTCATATCTAATTATGTTTCCAACTAGGGACCTCTAGCATATTAACCCTTGAAAATAACGATTAGTTTGATGCATGACAATAATAACAATAATTAAAAAGATGGGTAAATTACAAACACCACCCGAGGTATGGTCAATTTACAAAAAAAACCCCTCTTGTTTGGATAATTACATCTACCCCTCAACTATGATTTTTTCTTACACCTCCACCCTTATGGTGTCAAATTCAACATAATCATCTAGATTTCATGGAATGTGCTCTAGTTTGTAATTCGTTTTGTGTAAATATACAGTTTCTGATGCACCATAATTTGATATATACAAGCCAAAAAACACATATTATGATCATCTTGATTCAAAATGTAGAGTTCGAATGAGATTAAACGGGTACAAAAATGATAATATTCTATATAATTTAGTGGAATTTTCGAGATTATATGGAATATTATATTTTTGTACCTGTACCTCAGAGGGTGTTTGTAATTTACCCTTAAAAAGATATAGAGGCAGCGGATTAGGATTGTGATTATCGAGATTTTGCGTGCAAAATAAATTGAAAAAAAACTGCAAAATAAGAGAGAGAAAATGTATTTTTTTATAAATTAATTTTTTTTACAAATAAGTCACTAGGATTTTTTTTATTTTCAAATATTATTAAGAAAGTTCAAATGAATTTTTGAAAGAAAAACAAAAAAGACTAATTAAAACGCATCACTGAAATTCTACCTTGTAAAATTAAACAGAGCCCCCCTACAGTAGAGTACTCCTACAGTTCTCCATACAGTGTATTTGAAAAGAAAAATTGTCACCGACTCCCAGTGTACTACACCTACTGAAGCACTTTATTCCCGTAAAAAAGTAGTACTATTTGGAGCTTGATATGCCTAATTGGCCCAACCCAATGGGCCTACAAATTATTTACCTACTGGGCCACGAGCCCAATATCGAAGACCACTATCACCGAGGCCCAATCACCTTCAAGCAAGGTTTGGGCCTGACAATCTCAACTAAGCTATAAATACACCTTTTAACTCATTCCATAAGGTACGTCCTATTATCTGAGTAATACTATCAACTGTATTCTCTGGACTATTTCCACTATCAGCGATGTTTACGCCTGTGTTCGAGGGGTTTCCGCCGGATCAACCCCCGGCTTAGTTCATGTGTTCTATGATCGCAGGTACCTCAGGATCATCAAGTTGTCAAGCTACTGATCTGCTTTGCTCTCCCAGCTCATTTTCTACACCACCTCAGGTGATCTAAGTAATTAGCATCATCAGAGCTATTATATGGAGTTCTGAATCTGATTCCCTGCAGTTTGTAGTTGTACAGTTGTGTATTGTTACTGATACAAATATTAATAAAATTTGAATTATAATTACCCACATTATAATTCGAAATTAAAATATTGTTCCAATATTGGAATGATTGGAATCGAAATAGATGAAATTCAGAATTTTTGTTTCCAATTTTCACATGTAATATTTTTATTTAACACAATTATGCCTAAAATAGACAGTTGTTGGGTTGTTAAATGAAAAATTTGCCCCTAGAACAACTATAAAACTATCATCTTTCGAGGACCAAATTCGTCATATCTAGTAGATGATACACTCGGTTAAATACACCCGAACGATAGATAGCGAAATCAATTTCGATTAACTATTAAGATTATGTTTAATTATCAAAAAAACAAAAAGATTTAAGATTATGTTTTAGAAAAGAAAATAAAAATAAAAAATCATGTACTTGTCCCCAAACAATATTCCAGAAATTAATACAGTTTTGTCAATCAATGAACAGTCTAATCAACAACTTCATGTTCTCCAATTCACCCCTCTAAATTAATAATATAGCAATTTCACCCTCTATTGTTGGACGATTCGTTGGTAAAAAATCCTCCATTTTGTTTGTTTCACATATTGTGTGTTTGAATAATTAAATGCTTGAAATTTTAAGTAAAGATTGACATAATTGTTTAGTACTAAAAGTTGGGGTATAAATAAATTTTAATTTGTAACTTAATTTAGCGAAATATCCAAATTGGATTTTCATTAGACGATTTTCGTCAAACCCAGAGAAGTTTGACACCCTCAATACATTCGAACCCCAAAGGGTATGTGTGCTAAATCGAACATTTAATTCTTCTTTTATATATTTATTTAGCTCTTATACCATATTGAATGAACAGTTCGACCAAATGCTGAAGGTATACTAGTGAAATAGATCATTTAATATTAATATCTCAAATAAAAAGTCTCATCTTCCTTCACATTTACGACAAATGGGGAATCAATGAGCTTTCTTCGAAATAATTATGCATAAGTAGCAAGAATGTTCGAACACATCTTCCGTATGAAAATTCATTGATTTTTCTCCCATTCATTGATTTTTACCCATACATGATCACGGAGGTAGGAAAATTTCCATATGAGTCTTGTGCATATATAGTTGCAGGTATACCTAGGTACTTATCATGACGTCGACAACTTGAAGCCAATATCTGAGATAGCCTCTTTTTCAAGCAAAGCGCAAGGTTGCAAACTGTAAAAAGACCGATTATGAGGGAAAGAAATAAATTCATAATCAACTGTCAAAAGGTTTTACAAACACCACCTTTAGTCTTGTGGTATTAGTTAAATATTAATTGTTTTTAGAAAAAAATAAAGGTTGCGGCTATATGCAATATTAATTTCACTTTTGCAAAACTAAATTAAAGAAATATTCCAAAAGATTCTATTTTATTAAGATGAAATGACAAATGTACCCATAATTAAATTGGGTTTTGTTTGCCCATGCAAGACCAAATAACAAATAATGAAAAAAAAAAAAAAAAAAAAAGAAGAAGAGAAAACCCAGCCCCCCCTTGAAACCCTTCCCGTCGCCACAACAGCGCTGTCCAAGCTCCTTGTCGACCGCCGCCCCCGCTCACAATCATGAGTGACCTAAACCCGCCCAACAACGCTTCAAAAATGCTAGTTCCTCATTTTGTTCAACCTTAAAAAAATGAGTAAAAAAAATAAATTTGAAACTGGTAAAAATTAACACCAAGTTGTCGAAACACTATGCTAGGAATCGACACTTACGCATCGGAAAAAAACCCAAAAAATTCGACGTCAGCAATATATCGAATTTGATAGGTATAAATCGACATTGAGATGTCGAGTTTATAGCAGAAAAGCCGACATTGTGAAATGTCGAATTTGCTACTACAAAATCGACATCTTAGTGACGATTTTTAACTATCAAATTCAACCTGTTAATGTCGACCGTGTCTGTGCGGGATTTTTTTCGGAAAAACGATATCCTAGCTAAAAAACACATAAATGCATTCCTTCTTGGGTTCTTCCACCGTAAAATATTCTATTTTGATGTCTTCTGACTCTATATTTGCCATCTTTGTAAGATTTGTTGAGTTTTGCTGATTTTAATTAGGTATTGTGGGTTTATGGAGGAGGAAGGAGAAATGTTTTGTTGGTTTTGGAAGATGGAGAAGATGAGAGTTGGTCTTATAGTTTTGTGATAGGATTTTTTGTGGTTTTGAGTTTTTGGAATTGCACATTTGGATTTTTCTATAATTTTTTAACAAACAAGGGT